TTCTCTACATGTTGGTACTCAAAAATGAGGGTGACAAACCCAGATAGTAAGGTGAAACAATCCTCATTTTCCCGCTCTCTTCTTACGGCTGCAGGATTCCAATTACCTGTTTGCAATAGCATACATAAAAGAGGATTCATCATGAACGCTCCACCACTACCCCACCTAAGAATGACCTGTTCTACAAGCCAATATTCCTTCATTCCTTCTCTGAAAGTTAGGTGGTCTTTGCTATAAACATCTGCATTAAGTTAGCACTGCTAATTTTAATTCTTTCTTCTTAAGGAAAGAAAAAAAGGAAGGGGGAGATTTCAAAGAATAATGATGCAATATTGACCAAAGCAAGGGGACAGTGCCCGTTTGTCACTTTAGCTGAGCTACTTTAGCGCTGGACCGCATGCCCAGGCACTTTAATTTTTTTAGGACTTCACTAATCTCTTCTAAGGAAGAAATTCCCTCTGCGGGTAATCCTATGATAAAGGTAGCCTGAAAATAGCAGAGCCTTTAATCAGTAACCTCTGGGCTCAGAGGGCTCATCATGCCCTTAAATGATTTCATCCACATTGTGTCGGCACTTTTTTCTTTTTTTTTGCAGTAGTGCTCTTATATTTAAGCCAAGTTATAGTTAGCCCGTGCGGTCAATGCAAAATTATTAGTGCCGGAAAGCAGATTTTACTTGCCAATAGGAAAACAGTTGAACAGGGCCATCCATTTCCAGCAACTCTAAGAGAACACCAGGAACTTTGTTATGCAAAAGTTATTCATTTCCTTGTGGCTTACCACATGAGATAAAAGACTTATCGCAATCTTCAGAGGCACAGGAACAAAGCACTGGTCATAAGCCCTGTTAATATTTTCTCTGTTCTACCCCTTGTTGCCCAAGCTGTCACCCCTTCAAAGTCAAAATTCCTGGGGGGCAAGAAACAGACTACTTCCCTCGTACCACTCTGTAAAGGGTCTGCAACACTGTTAGTGCTATAAAAGTTACCAAAGACACACTAAGACAAGAGCAGAGCCCACTGGATCCTGCTTGCACTCTATGACCGTCCAGCCACTTATGACCTGAAGTTCTTTTATAAATATGTAAACATATCTCATTATACCTGTAATATGAAAACATAAAGTACCACAAGGCTACTTTTCAGGATGCAAGGAAGTCTTCAGTGCCACCGTCTGTCAACATTACTGACAACTTCTACATTATATGAAGCTGATCACCTCTGCTCTCTAATGTACACAGCTGAAAAGTCAGGGGGAAACTAGTAAACGGAACACTCTCTCCCTGAACCTGATCTTGCTCTTTCCATGACAGAAAACTTTATGATCTTTATCCGACAAATCAGGAGGATAACATCTGACAGAGCTTTCTGAAGCTACTCACTCTCAGCTTATCATCAACCCTATGCAAATAGCAGTAAAAAGCCAGGTCAAAAGAACGAGGTCTAAGAACATTTATTAGAAGTCAGAAGCTGATATTCCATTGGAGCAGGAGCAAACTCTGTTCAAACCCTCAGAAACCCCCACCCCCACCCCAATTCATCTTTATAAAACCCATTTCCAACTACTTGGGACTGTTGAAAGGAAAGTTCCATAAACACATTGCTTATTAAGGTCAGATGTTTGACTTGATCTTCTGCCAGCAAATATGGTCTGCTTGCCAACAACATCTTCTGGCGTGCTGACTCAAGTCTGCGTGACTAAAGCCAGAAAATATGGGCCGGTTACACACAAGCCTTCAGTTCAAAACAAAACAGCATCAGAAAGTCATCTTTCTACCGCCAGAGCCATCATCCTCTTTGAGGTGTTTCTTCCCTCTCTCTTTCACACACTCACACAATGACAGTATTTCATAACTTTCCATAGTGACTCAAGTCACAGTTCAGGGGCATGCAGAGAGGACCACAACATTGCTATTTCTTACATCTTGGGAAGAATTTGTTCCAGTAAGTTCAACAAGCCGTTACACGTTTAAGAAGGAAATGAATCTGTCTTTGTGAATAAAGGTTGGTGCCCAAAGTTGTATCACATTCAGCCACTGTACCAAGCAGAAGAATGCAGAATGCATTCCCCAGACAGGAAAAAAAAAATAAAGGCAGGTGTCCCACCAGATCCACGGAGCAATATCTGCGCTAGACAGCTGCACTAGTTTGATACCACTTTTATCCTCTTAGGTGGAAGCTAATTGTACTTTCATGAGATATTTAGAATTCTCCATTGTAGATGAGGGGTTATGCTCTAGTGTTCTCAAGCACAGAATTCCAACTATGTCACCATGCTGTAAAATGCCACAATTCCAACAGATCTGAGTCACAAGACCTCAAAGTGGTATCATACTACCACCACCGGATTCTACAGGACACCACGCAGACCCAAACCTCAATTCAGACACTGAACCGTCAAGGGCGGTTAGGTCTAGCTCCCACATCATCTCTCAACATTTCCTTTGCTTTCTGCTGTGTCACATCTGCCATCCGTCTCTTACTACAAAAATACAGAATGCTGCACTTAGGAACAGGATCATGGGAAAGGGAGGTTACTACATTAAAAAAATCCATCCTCCACAGGTATCAGGGTAAACTTAGCAAATTTTAAATACTGTACTGTTAGCAGAGATACATATGTATTTTTAAAACCACACAAAACATCCAGGGTAGTAAGGGCTATTTAAAAAGAGGCTCCTAAGCTCCGGTTCTTCAAATTGTTAAGTTTTTACGGAAGGAACGATACCTAAGAATAATCAATAGCAGAGCCAAGGCAGAACGAATAAAATTACATGGCTCTCTATCCTTCGAGCTATTCATCTGAGTGTAGTGCAAACCTGGATTGATTTGGCAGGTAGAAGGAAGGTGGCAGATAATGAGGGTGCCCTCTCACATCTGTGCATTTACATCCAGCATGGACAATCTGTGTCACCCCATATTCTGCAGGAATGCAGATCCCTTCCGCTCTAGCTAGAAGTGCCAAAGGTGAGAGCTGACAAGCGCTGGGGTCAAGCACACGGAGGGTGACAAACTGCCCACACTTGATTTACATATGCAAATTTAGTGGAGATTATCCTATTGCTAGTCCCAACTGGAGTAGAGCTATTTACTCTATGGGATTTACATTAATGTTGGATTACCATTCAGTAATTAATCCAATGGGTTTACCCTTGTTTAGGATGAGCAACAGAATAATGCCCTTGCTGACTCTGGGGAAAGATATTTCCAAAGCATTTAAACCCCAAGTATTCCTAATGCAGAAGGCAAGATCAGCTCAAGTTAACTGATCAGGTGAATGGCCAGTGCAGAAATGGAAGACAGATATGCCGAAGTGAAACATTACTATCTATACTTCCCATAGTTAAAAAACAACAACAAAAAACAAACAAACAAACAAAAAAACCAGAAAACAACACTCAGGCTTGCACACTTGTTTTTGGCTACTGTTGCATCTACTCTGTTTCTATTAACACAATATGCACACCTACAAAAACCTATTCATCAGAAAAATGAATTGATGAAAAGAGAGAGATGAATGCCACAGTGAGAAATACTCTCAAACAACTTTTGGGTGTTGGGGAGAATGGAATAATCCACATATGAGTTGACTGATTTAACATTTTCTCTTTTAGAGCCATTTCAACAAAACCTCTAAGTATCATACATTATTTGTTCATATTCTTCTACGCTATAGTACTTGAAAACCAATTCTATTTCTTCAGAATCAAGTATCCGGCCCGTACAACATACAGTCCACCAAGGTGACACTGCACAGTCCACCACAAAAATGGCACCACTAATAAGGCCCTACCAGACATTGTTGTGTTTTTAAGGCTGGGGCAACAATGTGGGAAACAAGAGGAGAGGCTGCCGGTCATTTGGCTGCTGCCTGAAACACATGGCTATAATTTTTGCAGGCCTCCTAACAGTAAAAACAACATTTGTGAGTACACACACATGGTAAGCTGCGGAACTGGATGAAGGAAGGATGATCAACAAGGGATATGAATATGGATTCAATAATTAGGCAATTGCAAGCCAGATACAGAAACACACAGAGGAGTTTGCAAAGCTAAAACAAAACAAAAAAACCTGCATTCTAGTTACTTTAAAAGGATTTTAGTCCTTTTATGCACTAGCATATGCAACAGCAGCACAAAACAAAGACAGGGTGGAACTCTCATATGCTGACGACAGAAAAACAGCAGATAAGCAAATAACTACTTAACAAGTGATAAATTTTCCCCCAATTGTGCATCACCTTCTTGATCAGTCTGTTGAGAGAGAAAGACTAGCAAAATAGTCCAGGTTGTCCCAGCTATATGCAGGTGATACTGACAGCCATTTTAGTTCAGGGCAGATAGGCATCTGACACACAGAGAACTCCTACTTGCTGCTTGATGGGAGAATACAGATGACCAAGCCATGATCAAGGGCAGTGTGATAATCTGTATGGGCTATTTCTGGTAAGGGGGGAAAAATCCCACACATCTGGCAAACTGGGCCCTGCCTCTATGACAAGAAGGGCCCCTTTTATTGCAGCTTATCCATTCAGAAACCTAGGAAATCAGAACGACCTGCTGAAATCTTCCATCGCTCATTGGTAAACATACAGATGACCAGACATAGCCTGGGATAAGCGTTGTCACTTTACAATAATCAGACAGCCAGTACGAGAGTATTTGCATAATCTGCCCATATTTGCATAATCTCCCAAGCGGTGCAGATGCATAGCAAAATCAGAGTTATTTTTGGACAACAGTCCCCAGAATTCCCCCAGCCAGCAAACACAATGGTCACAACAGTTGGGGGGACTCTTGAAACTGTAGTGTACAAATATAACTTCCCTGGGGTTCTCCATAAAATACTCATCTGTATCCCTCTCCCAACCATTTTCTGGGGTGGTTTCACATACCCAGAGGCGAGTCACTGCTAGCATACCGTCCCCTCTCTTCACCCAGTCGCACAATGCAGCCGCACAACGTATGAACACCACCATCAAGAACATAGGTCTCCTACCTGGAAAGGTGTGTGGTTGGGGTGACCCTCTTTTAAGGCACTTGGAACAGAGAACATGCACGGTGTAGTACAGGCCTGGCCATTCTTGAAGCAGTACATTCAGTTCTTCCACAAGCGGGGTGATGGCTTGCCAGGCTGTCCATATATTTGGCAGAGATGCATGACTAGCAATAGACAATGTATCTGGCTGCTGGGTGCCTCTGGCAGGCCTGTAACTTACCACCACAGGCACTTTTCCCCTGTACGCATAGATCTGGTATTTCCCATCTGATCGCTGAACCACGTGGCTGTTAATCTGGACACTGTAACGGGCAAACAGCCCAGGTGGGAAAATGAAGGGGAAACTGTACTCAATCTGCAGCTGTTCAGCCACAAAGGACTGTCCACCCAGGTTAGTACCATTGATCCACGCTTCTGCATGGGGCATCTCGTTCTTCACGTAGCAGGGGAACTTGTACCACGCAGTAGCGCCATTCAAGGGTTTGGATTTGGGCTTATTGACACAGTAGCAGAGTCCCATTTTTTCCAGCAGCTCCAGGATGAGCTGCAGATCCTCTCTGCTCTGGATGTGGGGCTTGAGAAGGAGGCGGATGACGTGGGCAGGGAGCAGTCCGTGCAGCAAGAACCCCTCCACGTAGTGGTGGAGCTGCGCGGCCTTCAGCTCATCCACGGGGGCGTTGCGGAGCAGTTTCTGGAGTAACACCGTGGCATCCCGCTGGCAGAAGACATTGAGGATGTCTATGAGCCGGGGCAAGTTGTGGAAAACGTACTCCCGCAGGGTCACGTGCTCCTCAAAGTACAGGAGCTTGCCACTCTCGTGCAGGTAGGAAAGGGCACTCTGGAGGCGGTCCTCCGTCAGGCCCGCCTGCAGGCCGAGCCGAGCCGAGTCCCACCAGCTGAGCCACAGCTGTTGAGCTCGGGGCTGGAAGTGCAGCTCCTCCAGCACCTGCCAGGATCTTGGCAGCACCCGGTGCAGGTTGGGAAAGATGTCTCGGTGCTCGGCCACGGAGAGGAGCTTCTCTCGCAAACGGCGTACCTGGCAACAGTCCCAGCAGCTGACAGGCAAGACCGGGGAGAGGATTTGGGGGCGGTGGTTCAGCAGGTATTGGAACTGAGCTTTCTTGCGTCGCAGGTTTTTGTCCGACACCCCGTAGAAGGCAACGTGAGGGCTGGAGCAGCGCAGCTCAAAATCCTGCCCCAGGGCTTCGTCCACCTGCTGGGCCAAACTCTGAAGGCCCTCGTAGTCACACTTCTCCTGCCAGGCAATCTGGCGGTGGATATCTAAGCATTTCTCCTCCACCTCCCGCTCAGCACACAAGTCCGCGTGGGTGCCTACCATGCACACCACCGCGTGTGGCACTTTCGCCCCCAGCCAGTGGAGGAAGTGTCCCACGGAAGGATAAAAACACTGCGGCATGTAGGTGCTCAGGTTCACCACCAGGACATAGAGGGCTCCGGGAGAGAGGAAGAAGGGCTGGATCACGTCGTAACTTGGGTCTCCCGCCAGTTCGTACACAATGAAAGTCAAGCCCCTCTCCATATCTGCCGTCCAGTCTGCCACCTCGATGCCTTGGCTGCTCTCCGGAGGCCCTGCCAGACGTGAAGCTGGGGACGTCATGGGCCGTGGCAGAGGGTAGCATCCTAAGTGCGTTTCCCCGTTTTGTGTGTGTGACGGGGCCACTGGGGAATCTGCCTGATGCTCGGCAGTAAGGCATTTAACCTGGTTCTGCCCAGGAACCTTGGAGGGTTGGTCAAAGAGGGCATCCCATTGCTCAGGGGAGAGACATCCTAAGCAGGAACATTTTAGGGGAGACGCCCTCAGCGGAGAAGCCTCCGGCTGCTCAACAATAGGATAATGGTTTGGCTGTGCTTTCAAGGAACGAGACTGGGGCAGCTCTCTCAAGGGCTGAGTGAAGCAGCCCCTGGTCCGCGTTTTGTCCACATAATTCCTGGCTGCCATTAAGGAGGACTCCCCTTGCCCTTGTTCCTCTTCCTCCTCCTCCTCCATGAGGCACTTCCTGAGCAGAGTTTTGCCAGCATTTTTCAAGCCCATGAGGACCAGCTTGAGACGGGGTTTCAGGGCAGGCTGGGAGTGGGCCAGCTCCTTCTGATATGCAGCAATATAAGGGATGCCCTTCATACAGACCTCATAGGGGGGCTGGATCAGTGGGTTGTCCTTGATCTTCCAGAGGCTGACTCGGCCCAGCTGGCCAAATCCCTCGGGCAGGATGGCGATCTGGTTGCCCTGCAGCACCAGCTCCTCCAGCTGATGAAGCTGGACGATGGAGTCGGGCAGGTAGCGGATGCGGTTGTTGTCCAGCCACAGGGTGCGCAGCTGGCCCAGCTGGCTCAGGCCCGCCGGCAGCAGGGTGAGCTGGTTGCGGCTCAGGTAGAGCTCCTCCAAGCCCGGGAGGGCCAGCACGGCGGCGGGGAATTCGGCCAGCAAGTTGGAGGAGAGGTTGAGCATCTTGAGCCGCTGCAGGCTGCCGAAGCCTGCCGGGAGGGCGCTGAGGCGGTTCCCGTCCAGCATGAGGCTCTCCAGAGCCCCCAGCTGGCACAAGCTCTCCGGCAGGGCCGCCAGGCCGGTGCCGCTGAGCCACAAGATCTTCAGGCGCCGCAGCGAGGAGATGCCCGCCGGCAGGGCCCTCAGGAGCCGGTTGCCCGAGCAGTCCAGCTCCTCCAGGGCGCCCAGCTCCAGCAGGGCCGGAGGGAAGGCGGCCAGCTGGTTGTGGTCCACGTCCAGGGCGCGGAGCTGCTGCAGGCGAGCCAGGGCCTCCTCGGGCAGGCGGCGGAGGCGGTTGAAGCTCAGGTCCAGCTCCTCCAGCTGCCGCAGCTCGCCCAGCCCCGCCGGGAGGGTGCCGTCGCCCTCGGCCCCGAGCTGGTTGTGGCTGAGGCTGAGCTTACGCAGCCCGCGCAGGAGCGCCAGCGCCTGGCCGTCGCCGCGCAAAGAGCGCAGGCGGTTGTGGCTCAGGTCGAGCTCGGCCAGGCGGC